GGGGGCTTAAAATTTAATTTTAATGTTTTAATTTAAAGTTTGTCAAAGTAAAGTTTGAGGCAACAATCCTGAAAATGTAATGTAATGTATAACAATTACTAAGCTACTTTCTTGGCTCATGGTTTGATTGATACGGTGGATAAACTGCCAACTTGCATTTTAGCATGGTGTGAGTGTGACAGTTAGGTACCAGGTTCTCGAATATGCATTAGCGAAGCTAGGGGGCCTACCTCCCCCCCCCCCAAAAAAAAAAAAAAATGTGACCATATATAGGTTTATTTGCTCAATACCAGCAGACCCCTATAATAGGATAAATGGATTGCATTTTGGAAAAAGGGAACCAAGAGCATTCCAATGTTGCTAGGATAGTGCAACTTCCATTCTTTGCAATGAAATACTGAGACCATGCAAAAAATTAATTTTACCAGAGTAGTTTTCGTCTTGAATTTATAATTTATCAAGAGTGAAGATAAAACTTGTTTAGATGATCAGTTTATACTTAAGTACATTAAAAAACCACGCAAAATTTCACAACTTAAAACGGTTGAATTTGCTTTAAGTACAGTAAAATGTGACAGGAAGTTATAGCATTGTAAAATGAGAACTAGAGGTTTTTTGCCATCAATGCGTACTATTTCTATTTATATACAGTTGTGGTTGAATGACGCCATTATTCAGGGTGAGTTATTCCAATAATCAAGGCGTTGACGCATTGGTTCTTGAAATAACTCACATCAATACCTATACCTTTACATTCTCTTCCTTTTCTTATCTGCAAATTTTCAACATAAACAATAAAGCAAAGAAAAGGAGCTACATATATTCAGAAACGAATTTAACAAAGCTAGGTTGCAGCATGACGTTGCAAAGCAGGTTGCAAAAGAATAAAATATCATTATGCTGTTTTTCTAGATGCTCATATCATCTTTTTTGAGCAGCAAAGATTTGAGATTTCCCTCCACCTATGGATCATTACGAAACAAGAACAAAAGACTAAATAATTAGACGCAAAAATTAGAAAAAAAACATTCCAAAATTTATTTTTAAAAAATAGAAGTATTAGACACAAGGAAAGATAATTTTGAATGCCCTATGGCTGCGGCATAATAAAGTTGCTAATGACAAAGAAGTTTTATATTCAACAAATAAATTGGCAAAACTGTGCGACCAAGGATCAAAAGCCCCTCAACAATTGAAGGTGCTTTACAAGGTTGTCAGGAAAAATCTCTAAATATTTTCCCAACTATGTGACCGTCCTTCATATAACTTTTCAAACTATAAAACTGTGATAATATTAAAGCATTCTAGTGTGATCTATTCTCTACAATTCTCGAAAACAAGAGAAAATGCAATAAAAGAGTTGAAATTCTTAATATTTTCTAAGTTTTCTGGAAATGAAAAACTCTTGGACTTTCCTCGGTTTTCAAGATCATCAGATCCTAGTCAGAGCATCATGAAAATGTTGCTCTTTTCGACTTTTTATGATCCGTAATACTTCTCTTACTCCTGTTGAACGTATATTATGGAGCAAATATGGTTTAACAGAGGCAAGATTTCGAAAGAGATAGACAAATTTAAAACTTCAGCCTGACAAAGATTTGTATACGTTTGGACAGATTTAATTGGACAGTCTAACTACATCAGATGTTGTCTTATCTTCTCTGATCAGGGGCGGATGGGCAAGGCAGGAACTTTGGGAAAAATCCTGGTGAGCCAGTCAATATTGAGCAGTATTCTGAACCAGGTTGTCCCTTTAAAACATCAAAATACAAATAAAATAGGCCGGTTCAAGCACTGATGGGCCCGACATCCCAGCTACTTTTCTAGTCCCATAGTCTGTCCCTGAAGTTTTATTATTTGAACAGAAAACTTAGCAAAACCAAAACACAAACTGATTGCAGCAGACGCACGGGTCGTAAGACAGAATGTTGGAGTTTTTTCTTGTCAACATGCATTAAAAATTCAGCATAAAGCTGAAAATCTCAATACATTCTCATACATATCAATTTCCCTTTGTATTGAGATTTTCAGCTTCATGCCGAATTTTTTACACGCGTTTGTTAAAGAAAAAAAATCCAACATACTTTCAGAACTAAAACTTGAAATTTTGTGAGTGTATAATTCAAAATCTGGGGTGAGTTAACAGAAAGTTTAAGGGCATCGCTCAGTTGAGATCTCTGTTAAATAAAAATGAGAGAAAATTGGGCAACAAGGAAATGCAGTTAGCCTGATTTTGGTTAAATTAAATCAGTCTATTGATACAAGAGAAGTCTATCTACATTAAAAGGGGAAAAATTGGGTGTTAATAATATTCCAATTGATTTCTACTGAAGAAAACCTCAACAACCGTTGTCCCCATGGGATTCTTGTTCTGACAATCAGAATCCAATTGGGACAAAAGGAATGGTGGTTGTTTCAAATGAAAATCTGATGAGGAAATTATTGGTGGGACTTTCTTAAAGGCATTCTAAGAAATGTTTTTTAGTGGCTACAGAGAGAAACCTATCTATTTCAAAAATGGATCGGATTCAGGGCTAATTTTCTACTCTAGGGCTACCACATGTAGAGGACAAAGTGATGAAAAAATATGATTCAGCCTGGAGGAGATGAAAAGGTTGTACCAAAGTTCTGATGTTAATAGACTTGTTAGACTTAGGTAATGTTGCTGCACATAGGAATTACATTTGATAGGACAAGTCTATCTTCAGAAAAGTTAAAACTCAGCCTGGATGCTCAAACTCTTCTGCAAAGAGACTTGTCATGTCAAATTTAATGCCTATATGCGGCGACCTTAAGTCTAACAAGTCCATTTACATCAGAACTTCACAACTCTTTAATCTCCTTCAGGCTGAGTCAACACCCTCTGGCTTCTAAAGGAGTCTCGAGGGGTTTTTGCAAGTGACCTTTGTGGTGACTGCTGCCTACTAATAATGCAATGAGATCATACCAGATGCTGTCAGGGTTGAACTCCTCCAACGAAGTTCGTATAGTAAAAGTATTAATGTATGAGATAGATATTGCAGTAATGAAAAAATAAACTAGTAGAACAAATAAATTAAATTGGCATTGTTAACAGAGAAGTGACCTCATAACTAACAGAAAATTATTTCACCCCCGAAAGGAACAGACAAAATAAAACCAATAATAACTGTAGCACCTCAGAATGATATTTGTCCCATTGGTAAACTTTTTGAAGACAAAACTCTCAAACCACATAGCTCATTTTACGAAATTGCAGACATCCTGTCAGACTTTATTTTTAAATGGAAAACCCATCAACAACAATTCTTTAAAACTTCCAAGGTTTTTCATCTCTGTGAGAAAAAAATTCTGTGAAGAACCTTGAAGAATGATGTTGATTTGTTCTTCTTCAGAAAAATAAAATGGGAGCGGAGATTTCTGAACACTGCAAACAAAATTCATGGTTTGAGAGTTTCATCATCCTATTATTAGTATCAGTAAAATCATAGCTCCTATTTTGCATGTATCTTCATGCTTTTAAAGAAAAATAATAGATACTTTGAATGAACAACAATATAAAACATACAGAGCATATTTACACTGAGTTTTTCACTTAGCATGATCATGGCCAAATCTCAATACAGTAGATATTTAACTAATCTTTATCAGGAGCGAATCACTACATACTGAGAGAAAGCACGAAAGCCTAGAGTAATTTCATGAATAAGGACATTTATATTGTTATTGCTCTTATTTCTTCTACTTTTTTATTGCCAAAGAATTTTTTAAGTTTTTCAGGATTTTTTCATTCACAAATCTCAATAATTTTTTATGAAAAATCTTTCCATACTTCTACACATAATCTAAGTTTGACAAGAGCTTATGATTAGCTCCAATAACTAGGGAAACACAATCGATGGAAAATTACACAAAGAAAAGAAACATACAATTTATAACAGTGAATCACCAAACAATCTGGACTTTTTTTTCTTATGGACTAAAATAGTTGATATAATGATGATTTTATCTACAGTAAGACCTCGATTTATCAAATTTCACGAGACCGGAGGTCCAACCCGTTAAATCGTGGAATCCGTAAAATTGTGCTAGTGGGTCCTGCTGAAGGGACCGGAGGATCGATCCGTTTAGTCGCGATCTGATAATTCAAGGTCTTACTGTATTCCTCTTTTGCCTGCTTCTGTTTTTGGCAAAAAAGGTTGCTGGCTGCTATTAATATCTCTTCAAATCAAACTATTTAATTTTAATGTAGGAAACTAAAGTTAGAGTCTGTTGGCAATCGTCTTTTTTTTTCCTTGCATTTAGAAGATTGCTCAAATACCCAAATCCTAGAGCCCAGAGGTCACAAGTAAAAATAAGCTTTAAAAGAGTTTGGCGCGTAAACCCTTGTAAAATTTGATGATTCAACTATCCAGGTCAACTTAACAGGTGCAATCTTGCCAGAAGTCAACGGGATCTACTAAAACTATTAGGGAAAAATTCGGAGGAGACTTTGGAGCAAAGCTGATTATAAGAATACTTCAACTAAAAAATACTTAAATCCTCACACGGTAATAGCAGGCCATTCTCACTTATAATTGATTATGGGTGTTCAGTTTCTTTTTTTATTATTTACGCTTTTAACTCATCTAAATTTACACCAACCCGGATCATTTGGATGATGGGAAGACCAGTGAGCAATTTTAAGAAAAATAAAACTCACAGCATTACACAACAGCACTGAGGGAAAATGCAATTAATTTAAACACGAAAGTGCACCTAGCATACCTAATTTCTCAGACCCCGATTTCATTAATGGACTATCTTCTTCCCCCTGAACTCCAAACTCTCAGATAACCATTTCTTTAAAGTTAGGATCCTAGATAACTTGGCTATTCGCAATTACAGAAATATTACTTTGGTAGATATTCATCTAATCTTACTTTCTACATAACTAAGGCAGTAAAAAATGTAAATAAAAGTACATTCATAAAAACACTAAGGTTACATTAATATCTCAGTCTTAAGATGCTTCAACCCCTTGATGGGGTGGAAATAAAAAAAAAAAAAAAAAAAAAAAAAAAAAAACAGTAAAATGAAAAAAATAATGGCTTTGGATTGTAAGCACTAAAATTTAGGAGCGATTTGGGATAAAGGTTACAATGAAAGCCTAATACTCTTAAATGGGCATTTAACAAAACTAATACAATTACTAAATTGAAAGAAATTAACCCCTCCCCTTTCCCCTTGTATTTATTGGGTCAAACCTCGTACAGGAAAGATTAAAGCTTAAAATGTTTTTAGATTACAGGGGAGATCCAACAAAAATTACATTTTGTTGATAGTGAGTCTCCCCCCCCCCCCCCNTCCCAACCCAATGGAACTACAATAAATTAGGAATTAATATTTTTAATTGAGTTCTTTTAATTTTTGTTTCAATAACTTGCTTTAACCTGCTTTCCTATGTTCCCACCAGAAATCTCCGTTTCAGAATCAAAGAGAGCAACGATAAGACCCGAAAATAGCAGATGTCCTGACTGAGTATGTTAAAATAAAACTAATAAAATAGAGCCATAGAATAATTATGAAATAAAATATTTCACTAAACTCTGTGCCTCATGAAATAATAATGTATGACGTTTCACAAGGTAAAGTTTTAACTACAGTTTTATTTCCTAATAATCGTCTTAAATTGACAATGGTTAACACGACTGAATATTTAGTTCTATTTCCTGGTAGCACTGTGAATTTTACTCAAATTGCACAGTAAAATAAGTTGATTTTAGTTTAAAAATAATTATGCCTTAACAATTTGGAGCATTTCTTAATAGATGCCTCTTTTTTATGGCATTTTGGGTTAAAAATAAGGCAGTAGGTAACCATCTAAAGTTGCAGCTACTTCTAGGCCTCTGGTGGGGTGGCTATATTTTCTCTTTAAAGGTATTCTGATGATGGCTTTGCAACTTCAGAAAATTAAATGTTGACATTTCACACAACAGATCAAGGATATAAGAAACAACAACAAAAATACTCAAACTCACATTGTAGGTAACATTGTAGGTTCAAAATTCTGATTCATAGCATTTGCTATCCCGTTTTTCTAATGATTCTACCACTGATTAATTGATTTTGATATCTTCCAGTTGCAACTTGCAACAGAGGGCCAACTTGGTGACCGAAATGAGGTTTGTACTTAGCAATAGATGTTGGAAATTTGAGCATCCTAATCCGCAAATAAATTTAGGAGCTATTTAAAAGTATATCAGCAAAGTTATTCAGCAAAATTGGATGGATTTAATCAGAACCAGCCCGACTACATCAAACGTTGCTTAATTTTTTTTTTTTTTTTTTTTTTTTCAATAGGTAGTTAACTAAAAAATACTAAAACTTGAAATTTTATGAGTATGTCCTTCATAATCTGAGATGAATGAATTCATAGAAAATTTAAGGTCATTGCAAAGTTTAGTTCTCTGTTAAAAAAATAAAATATTACAGAAAAAGAGGCAACTTGAAATGTAGTCAGGCTGATTTGTTCAGTTAAATCAGTCATATAAATGTCTAGGCTGAGTCTACAGGGATCAAATGGACGTAATTCTGCCAAACAAAACTATGTGCATTAAGACATGAGCCTTAAGACGCATAAGAGTATATGCATAACGGGGTTCACATCATGTCTTAATGCACATAGTTTCGTTTGGCAGACATACTTTCAAATGATCCCATTCAAAAGATTTGGGGACTGTATTTTATTTAGCTGGATCCATGAAAAATAATCGTTACAATATCCAGTCGTAGAGAGAGAATATGGTTATGCACTTTTCCTTCCATAGAAAACAAACTATACATAGAAATAGTAAAAATTAAAGACAAGTGATGAAGTCAATGCAATGAGCTCTACTAGCATAAACTAGACTTAATTAATTGACCGCTTCAAAACTGCTCCTGCGTGAAACATTGAGGCAAAGTACAAGGTGAAGCGATTGCTTATCAAAATACTCGGCTTTTGACCTGATTGTAAATACTGACCATATCCATGACGGTTTGGACGTCCGTTTTGTAGAGAGATATGTTGGCTGCACCAAGATGTAATTTGCTGTCCTCCTCTTGATCCAACATACAGTCATCACTGAGAATTGGAATCTTGTGGTAGCGCCCGGATGCGTGAAATTCTACAGCTTTGGTTTCACGCAAAATATGTTCTAGATTGGTTTTGTTTATCCCAGCTCCAGGCATAATGATTATTCTTCCATCTGCTTGTTCAATTAGATTTCGGATCAATTTTATGCCAATAAACGCTGATTGCTGCTGACCCGATGTCAGGATACGAGAAAATCCTAACCTTATGATCACCTGGCAGAAAAACAGAAAAGTACACAGTGAATGAGAAATGGAGAGAATAACCTAACACAAGGGGTGTCATAACAACTTTCATATTGATGTCTAAAGTCGAAAAATGCATTCAATTTCGACGATGAAGGTCTCTGATTACATTGCATTTTTTTAAAATTAACTAACCAACGATTTATCTTGAAAGTTGTTGTAAATTTTCTCCGCTCTTTTAAGTAAAGATATTCAAAGAAAATTGCAAAGCAATATTGAAGTCAGTTCTTTGTAAAAGGGTAAAAATGATAGGATATTTTAACATTGCAATGGAAATATAAAATTTTCAACTCTAACCATCGATGCTGTTCATGAGAAGGACGATTTTTCATCAGGATGCATCGTTTGGTGTGATGATAATGTTCTTTCTTCTTTATTAGCATTGGCCATGAAATTTGGACGTGAAAAAGAAATGAAAAGAACTATTTAAATCTGCGCGTTGGGAAACAATCTTTGTCTTTTTTTATGTAAAATTAATGCAAAATGTATCGATCCAGTAGTGTACATTTTTTTTATTTTTTTTATAACTTTCTGCACCCCTGTGCTCCAATTCGATGGCTAAATTAGAAAAGTACATACTTCAATTGCAAAGCTTAAAAATCTTGAATCATATATTATTTTCTTTGAAGAGAAAGAATCAAAATGTTTCCTTGCAATTTCGTAAGATTCTTTAAAAATAAGTGAAGAAAGCACAAAGATTTCTTCCAACAGAAACTGTTGTTTAGTTTTAAGCGCTTTACCAAAAAAAAAAAGAAGAAAATGAGCAGAGACTTAGGTACGATGTTGTAAACCAAGACAGCATTATTTTACTTAAGCCATCCATCTGCTTTCATGTAATTTTATCTTCCCTTCTGATACCCTTTTTTTCTTAAATTACAGCTGTTTGATAATTTCTGCGTATAACATTTTTCTTGTAACAAATACGAAACAGAGTAATATATTCAATTAGACATTACCTCAACACTTTCACTAGGGTTGGCTACAAGATCAAAAGCACGGTGGAAAGTGACTGGTTTTTTGCCGGCAATATCTAAAACACGTTGACACAGGTGCTCATCCACTTTCCTGTTCTTGGTTAGTGCTCCAAAGACGAATCCATCTGCACCGTTTTCATTGAGAGAGGTTGCATCCACAAAAATGGTAGTTTGCTCGCGTTGAGAGTAGACAAAATCATTACCTCCCCTTGGTCGGATCATCACAAATACTGGGATCGTCGAGAAACTTTTGACAGCTGTTAAGAGACCTACAGTTGGGGTTAAACCGCCCTCGCTGAGTGCTGAACAGAGCTCTAGTCTGGAAGCTCCGCCTTTGATTGCACTTTCGGCAGATTCCACATTGTCGACACAGACTTCCATATTATCGAATTCTGAAAGAAACAGAAAAGAATTCAACATCTCAGAGATGCAACAAATGGAGAGAAGGATGGACGAGATAAAAAAGAAAATTAACAACTTCACAAATTTACTCACTCAGATCTGCGCCAGGAATGTCACTTACTGACATCAATATTTGAAGTTAGCTATGCTTAAAAGATTTTAAGAGTTTGTTTAGTTTTGATGGATTTTTTCCAGAATGATGTGAGGATAAAAATTAATAAATGGGCTTGAGGTTAGGATAGTATTTCTTTCCGTTTCTTTATCTTTTATATTATTCTATATCGTGTAAGTTTTGCGTTAGAGACACAAGCCATTCCTACCCACAGCTCTTGCCAATTGTTGGTTTGGTGGAGTTACTTAGAGCTGGAAATACAAAACCGTGAAAACTTCTGGCTCAGGAATTCTGGATAACTATCCTCAGCTTCACTACTTAAGACTTAACAATAAGACTACTTCACTAAGACTACTTGGCATAGCCCAAGTTTTGACGTAATCAAAAGCTAGGGATCTAAGAAACATTTATCCAAAACTAAGTCTAGGTAACTTTAATTTAGTTAATATGGGTATGCCTGATAACATTTGAATGGTATTAGAATTGCTTTGCTTCAAGATCAAAGCCAAATCTTGTCAGAAATAGATAGGAGCATGAAACATTGCATCAGATGATGATATGATCCCAAGCAATTACTACATGGCAAATATTTGAGCAACACAGAGATAAGGTGGAGAAAAAAGTTTAATGATAAGGAGTGCAGAGAGATTCAATGAAAAATGACCGCAACAAGAGGTTTAATAATGAGCTTCTTCCTATTGGCAAACTTTGTCAAAATAAGATTTTTTAAACTTGAGACATGTAAGCCAATTTTTGAAATTTTTTCCTCGTTGGCAATATTTACATGACTGAACTAAGCTAGATGGAGTTATAATATTGGTCACACGTATTAGTCAATCTCCGTGTGACACCTTCATGGCGTTGTTGATTGTTCAACAACCTTATGGTTGATTACAGAGGGGATTGCTTAAGCTTATTAATAATCCCGCCTAGTAAACGTACGACAAAAATTGAGTGATTTTACAGTTTTAACAAAAAACTCTCACTTCAGCTTTGTCTTAACTTAAAATGCAGCCAAATACAGGATTTCGATGATAAGCCTGCTGTGACGAATACTGAACTGGAGCGCAGGCGTGAGCCTTTGTTTATCAGTCATTACAAAAACCAGAATTTTATGGGTGCTTGGATATTGTTCCAAGGAAGACAAAGTAGGTAATCGGCCATGGAAAAAGAAAAGTTAGGGAATATTTTCCATTAGTCTTCTAGTTTTTTTGGTCCATCGAATGTATCCATAAATATTAAAAAGTGATACTTCATGCAGAAAACAGACATATGATTCTTTCGTGACCTCCCTTAAACTCAGAAACACCGTAAAAATCACGCAGACTGAAAAGTGCCAGTCATTACATATTAATTATCATACTCAGAGAGCCTCATTTGGTTGATATTTTTCCTCGAGTTCAGCTTGTTGAAAACTAGGGCATCATATTGGCAATAATGTTTCGATTCCCATGAGGTGTGATATTCGTTCCTTTTCACAACCAGAACCGATCATTGTGATAGTTTGACTATCGGTTAAACTTTCATTCACAAACAACATCTTTCCATTTGAGAGTATTTGTTTACAGAATAGATTTCTGACGTTGTAAAATCCTGTAGTAATGGTGCAGAATTCCATACGGATACATTTCTGATATAAAATAAAAAAATAACTATCCATGTTCAACTGAAGTTACTAGTTAAAAACAACCTGAAAATATTCAGATAAGCCTAAATTTTGCTTCACCTATGCCAGCTGAGAAAGATGTGTCACTGGTTACGATTACATCACAATTATCATTGCAATACGTCCGAGTAGAGTCTATGGACTTTATGGCCAGAACAGGTAAATATGGAACTCTTACCAAGGAGAAAGTTTGCAGAAATTCGGGTCAGACGTGAAATTCGTTGCTTGCAATCCTTGGCTGGTGGTATAGAAAACCAAAATGGTATTTCGTTATTCACAAAAGATGGACTGAAATCGGGATAACTTGACTCGAATGCGGACTCACAATTAAAAATTCACATAAATGATGAAACAAACAGACGGATTCCGCTTCTAGTGATTGATTTGCAGCAATTTGATACCCGCAGAACAATCAAAACAAAACAAAGTAAACAAATGTTTTCGCTAGGTTTCGCCAATCTGCGATGCCGCGGAGTTTCAGCCAATTAAATCGCTGAAAATTTTTGACGTTCAATGCATTGAGGTTCACGATTGTCTCGATAGGTAGCGCTTGCCGTTTCTTTTTTTTCCTTACGGCGCGGCGCGGCGCTACAGGAGGTAGGGGGTTTGTGTTGTGTTTTCTCACGTTTACTTTTTTGGCTTTATGCCCGCCTCTCATTGTGCGGTGGAAATGAAATTCCACATAAATGAATTTGGGCAGGATTTGTTCCATAATTTTTTTTTGTTTTGTTTTTTTTTTTTTAGATAGTCACGGGCCTGAATTGAAAAGTAAGTTCCACCTTCTTAAAACACCGCACACCCCACGCATGAATGATCAAAAATTATTGCCGTGGAAGACTTTAATTTGCCTTTTCATGTCAAAAGCAGTTGTAAATTGTTGCTGTAGTTTAGTACACTGTTTTTTTTTTTCAAGAAGGAAGTTGTATCAACTACAGCATATTATACTGTCGTCTGTTTACGGTGTTTACCGCTCCTCGGTATGATTGTTGCCTACACAATGGCATTGAAGGCGTACCTGATGTGCACGATGTGCGATACTTGTTTACTTTTAGTCTTACGCATTGACTATTGGCTTTGTTGAAGTTTATGGTGAAAGCTTTTAGTTAGAGACGCTAAACTGTTTCTAGTGAAAATTCAGTTGGTGAGAGGAAATTTTGCAATGTTGAAATGAGGGGCTTGGAGGACAAGGCGCATAAGTGCAGTTTCTGAAAAATGAGATATTAATGATTTGAAGTAAAACTAGGCTTAATGCATATTCTGTGAAAAATGCGCTCTCAAATTCCAATTTTTAAGCATCAATAAGTCAGTTTGAACTTTCTCTCCGCCATCAGGATCCATGTAATTTCGGAACTTCAAAAATCACGTATTCCTCGAAATAGCAGAAATTGCACTCAGGCGCCTTGACTTCCAAGCCCTACAAACGAAGTTCCACGCTCTTAATTTATACCCTTGTGCGTTTTCGTTTATACTAATGAGCTAGATTTAGTTGTATTTTATTTCAAAATGTCCAATTTTAGTCCTTTCCAGAGGACGATCACTAATTTATTGCTTTGTGTGACATGCATAGTCCATTAATAGTGTAAAAATAATAATCTGTAAATTTAAAAGAGAAGCAATTTTTCCCAAGCTTCGCAATGGAATGGAATCAATATTGAATCTATATAGAAATCCACCTTCCATTTTTTCCATATTGTATATCCATTTGGAAATCCTTCCACGAAGGTGCCTTGGACTCCATATCGACAGTGAAACTACCAAACCACGTATCTCGGTTTGCGACGTCGCAGACTTCCTGTCATACTTTATTTTTTAAATGAAAAACTACTTAACGTGCTCGCAAAGCACGCCACGCCACTGCTCCCTCATCGGAGATGTTTGTAACCTGGGGGTGCGGAGCTGAGAGGTGAAATGCTCCGCTGGAGAGAGCAGAATGGCAAAAAATAATAAGGGAAATAAAACAGGAGTCAAATGAAGGTTTCCACGGCAACTCGTGGAAAAGAGCAGTGGCGGGGGGTGGAAGGGGTGCAGAAAGCGCGGGCCTGGGCCTGATATCCGATACCTAGTAACACCCTCAACCCCACCGTGTGGCCCGTTCAATTATAGCTGTGCTCTGAGCATCCCTCCTTCCTCTTGGGTTGGAAGTTGCCGGATTTCTGAGAGGGAGGGATGAAAAGTGGAAAAGGAAGTAGAAATGGAGTTAAAGCGAACGAAAAGCGAAATTCTAATCAAATGATCGGGCTCAGGCTTAATGATTCAGAATCAAGTTGTTGAAAAGAAACTGACCTATCAGGATGCAAGGGTCAAGATCAGCTCAGCTCCAAAGGGCAATTGTGAAAAATCCATGCTCAGGTTTAGTGGTAGCACTGGCCTCACTAAACAACTTCAACTTCTTTCAAAACTTTCAAATAAATTCTAACTGATGTGCTTTTAACAGTCAATTATTGTAGTGATGGTGAAATTGCGAAACCCCGCATCTTCGTTGAGGTGTTTCAAAATTTCCGCCCCTATCAGGTTTTTTTTAAATAGAAACAATTCAACTTCGCAGCTCAAAATGTTTACATTCTCCTAATGCAGAAGAAAGTTCGGGAAGATATCCAAGACGTTTACTATGGTTTTTCAAAAAGAAAAGAAAAATAAAGTATGGCAGGAAGTCTGCGATAGTGCAAACGGAGATACGTGGTTTGGCACTTTGGTTACTGATGTTCAAAAAGCATGATTTCATATTTCATGACTGATTTTTCTCAGAGAAGCTCACGCCGCGTCGCTTATTTATTAATGCTAAAACAAGTCTGCATGTACAACGAGTGCTGGTGCAACCATTGCGTTAGGAATAAACCGCGAGACGGACCAACTAGCCAGTGCTGCGGCTCGAATATTGAATCTATATTGAATGACCATCAGGGCCGGATTAAAAGGGGGTGGCCACATGGGCCGCGGCCCATGGCGGCAAAATTAGGGGGCGGCAAATTTTGCATTTTCTTTAAATGCAGGTACAAAAAATCGGATTCAGAAAAAAATTACAAACAAGAAAAGGTGACAAAATCTCTCGTTTCCTGAGAGTTCATTAGTTTCTAATTTTGTCGTATTTCGGTGATATAAAAGACTGCGCACCTTTAATTAGTTGAGTTAAGAAAGAAACCAAACACGTAATTTGGCCTGGAGCGGCGCGGCGCAAAGAAAAATGATGACGAGGACTTGAGATGAAAAGGAGGAGCCCTCGACGCGGCGGTCGGCATGTAACACATATTAGCGCCTACGAGACTGCATGAATACTTCACGCATTGCGTCAAACACAGTACGGTCAACAGCGGTCGGCGCGGCGTGAAACGCAGAGTGCCTACAAGACTATATGAATACTTCACGCATTGCGCCAAACACAGTGTGGTCAGCGCGGCACGGCGGCGGAAGTTAAAATTATTAAACCACATTTATGTTTGTTCTTTCTTATTTTTTTAGTTCATTTCTTACAAATGAAAGGCCTTGTCCCCGCAGAAATAGGTTTACGGAACTGAACTTTCGCGCGAAGTTCCATGAACTTTTGCCAGTAGTGTTGACAGGGCTTACGCAAAAAATGTGTGCAACACGAGTGAACGCGTCTTATGCACCCTTCTCCTTCCGACACGTTCACTTGATGGTTTTTATTGATGTTTCAAAATGAATGAGAAGAGGGCGGCAAAATACAGGCGGCCCATGGGCAGCAAGTAGGTAAATCCGGTCATGATGACCATAATCGATAAAAAGCATTGGCAAGATAAGGATTTATCGATCAGGATCATTCGATAGCGATTCAACAATCGACCCGCTGCGGCTCGATTGTGGAATCGATATCGAATGACCTGACCATGATCGATAAAAAACATTGGCAAGATAGGGATTTAGTGATTCAACAATCGATTCAGTTCTGGGATCATTCTGCGAACTTTGCATATTCCTGATAGAAAAGTGTGTCTGATCGTAGGAGAAAAAGCTTCTCACGTAAAATCCCGGGTAATGTGCTGCCAAAAACCCCTACGAGTTTCCTCCATATGTGGTCATACATCGTCCATGAGAGATGGGACTTCAGACCTCGCGGTAAAATTAGCCCACCAATTAATGTTTTTTTCTTTCGCGGATTTTAGACGATGAAACTCCCAAACTATGCATCTCGATTTTGCGACATTGCAGACTAGAGTACCAATTGCAGACTTGCTGTCACATCTTATTTTTTTCATAGAGAACTACTCATCGTCAACTCTCAAAAACTCCTGTGATTTTCCTTCTCTTGAAAAGCTAATTCTTAAAAAAAAAACCTCAAGAACTGATTTGGATTTCTTCTCCTTTAAAAAGGTAAAATAAGATCGGAGATTTTCAAACTCCGCAATCGATAAACGATGTTGGCAGTCTTAGCGTCGATTTGTAGACCATTATAGATGGACCCAACAGATTTCAAAAACAAAATTTCAGCAACATGGAGCACCGAGACCTCTGACATTTCGAGTAGTGCCTCCACCTGTCTGTTTTAGAAAGAGAAGAGCAGGGAACTCGTGGTGTAAGAGGGGCGCATAAGGGGGGTATGAAAGGGTGTAGGAGAGCGTGGTACGAGAGCGGGCAGCGTGGAGCGGAGAGGGACGCAATTAACGGCAGCTTTCCTGCTCTGCAAACAAATTTTGTTTAATCGTCCATTATCATTGATGGATCATCACGGTTTTGCGGCGACGCGACACATCGGATCGACCCGGTGCGAGCCCATTTTGAAGCCGAGTTCAAGCTTATAACGGACGGGCGGGAGGGGCGGGGGCGCCGCACGGTGGATCGAGTCGATAAGAGAGGTTGGACAAAATTCGGAAACTTTAAACGCTTGTTACTCCGTTTATACAAAACTTTGAGGTTCTAAAATTTGTTCCATTGGTTTCCTCGTAAAATTGTCTGCCCTTACCCCCTTTGAAATTTAAAATACGACGAAATAAACATCAAAATTTGCAGTTTTAGTCAAAAATTTCAAGTCCGACTTCTCTGATTGACTCGATTCACTGTGCGCCGAGAGACCCCCGAATCTTCCCCGCCCCTTCATTCCCGCATTCATCCCGCCTTCTGGTTCTTCTCTCCGTGTTTCAGCCGAACATATTTTAGCTCCCCAACGAAGCAAGTGTGCGACTACCATTTGGGGATACCACCAAAAACGTGGCTATTCAATTTTGTAGCCACTTTGAATCACTTTAGTCATTGTAGTGTGTGGTAGAGTTTCCTCCATTCGATAACTATGGCCAAAAAATGCGAATGTTCAATGCAACGCTGAGTTCTTCGATAGTGTTTTTCTTTTCTAAAAAAAAAAAAAAAAAAAAAAAAAAAAAAAAAAAAAAAAAAAAAAAAAAAAAAGACTGTAAATTATTAATGCAAATTTTGACCCGGTGATCTTGAAAGTTTTAAAAAGCGTTCATCACTAATCGCATCGAGAGTCTCAAGTGAGAAACAGCTGTCTGAA